GAGCAGAGAAGACCTTCTCACTTTGAAAATGGGTGCCTTGAAAACAAACAGATTAGAAAGGAAAAAGTGTTAACAAACGTACAGAAAGAATTTAAATATGCTCCAGAATTGGATGATGTTGGATTATGACCCACAACTGTACTGTGCCAGTGCAACTACTTTAAAAAAAAAAGAAAATGGGCAGTCATAGAGAAAGAATAAGAAAGACACACATACAAGGCTATACAGATGAAAAGATAAAAACTAGGTAAAGTGAACATGCATATATAACAACAATATGGATCCCATGTGGAGAAATGGAACTGTGTTCTGAAAAATTTGAAGATTACTGTGCTATGGAATGACTCCACCCGAATGACTCCACCCCTTACCTTTCTGTACCTTTTCCAGCTTGCATGATATAACCAGGTCAGGAAACATTTTTGCAGTAACACCAGGCTGCAATAGACATAGTACCTTAGAACACAGGCTACATGATTTTATTAAAAGTCTGGCACAGATACACAAATTCTTTGTAAAATGGCTGGCAGCTATGCCTGCATAAACCACATCAGTTTCTCGATCACACAGGGACTTTCGCCACCTAGTGGCAAATGGATCTAAGTTAGACGTGAACAATGTTTAAAGGATAGATGTATTGCTGAAGCCAACCAAAAATACCCCTTGTTGCCTTTACCCCACCCAAAGGCACCTGCTGTAGCTCTGTCTCTAAAATGAGGCAGGTCCAGGCCTGGCTAGTACTGGGGATGGGGGAAATTCAATATGCAACCAAAGGTCCTGGGAGGAAAGGTGGGAAATTAATATTTAAAACAAAAATAAAGAATAGGCAGTAACAAGAACAATCCCTTTCATGATAAAATTGGATTCAAAGATTACAACAGCGGGATGCATTGCAGCTTTCAAAAGAGCAGTCGCTAACGCCAGAGTTTCATTTTTACAGCTGTATTTATTTATGCCCTACACTACCTGTAGTGAGAACGAGCTGCCAGAGTCAGACACCAATGCTGTGCTTCCTCCTTCCTTTCCAAGGAAGACTTCCAACAATTCCAGAACCTCTGCAAGAGCTGGGGGGGGGGGGGGGCAGAAAAGAGACACAATGTGCAGGACAATCAAATGAGGAGTCCTTCTACAATGAAAAAAGTAGGACATTATCTTTTTAAAGCAAAAACACTATTTGCAACAACCAAGCTAACATCTAACCTGAATGGTAAAAGAATGCATCCTGACAACACTGACTTGCCCAATTACACATATAGTCACCAAGTGATTTATAGTACACATATATGGTGTCTGTGCTCCAAAGAAACTTCCCCTCATGGACCAGGGGAGGAACACTCATCAGGTGCAAGCCCAGATGCAGCAAAGTGTTACTCAGAACTGGCAACAGGATGCCTGAGTGTGGCTGCTGCCAGAGTGGGAGTGACTTGGGCATGGGCCATCTAGGCATGTCCCTGGCGAAGCTCTGACTTCTGGGAGTGGAAGGTGGGGGGGCGAGTCCCTACACAGTGGTGATGCTGTTGTCATGGAACCAACTGTAGCTAACCTTACCCAGAAGGACAACAGGCTTACAAGAAATAACCATACCTGCGTAGTATAAAAGCCAGACCAGTCAAAGCTAAAGATGACCCACTTGGGGCTGCTCAAGAAACACAACAAGAGAACCATGAGAATGAGAAAGTGTCATAAACCCCCTCCTTTCTTTGTCTGAGGGAGCTTTTGGGTTGAAGTGGGACTACACTTAGCCTACAGGGTGAAAGTTATAATGATCCAGATTAATTGTGTTTCTCCTTTTTTGAGCCCTAATTTTGTAAAGAAATATTATTGATTTATAAATTATTGATTTATTATTATAAATTATTGATTTATAAGGTATTCTTAGTGGGCGGGGGTGCGTTCCACTATTTATGGTCCAAGTACCTGTCAAAAATATCCTATTGGTATTTTCCAGATATAATTTGGCATCTAGATGGTACCTGGGATACTGGTAAGTGGTTCCTGAAACACTGTGTAAATATTCAAGAGTAACTGGAGGAAAATGTTTTCTGTAGCTCAGCATTCTACTTGCAGAGAACAACTCAGTGATCTAACATGACTCTTTTGCTGACGAAGTAAGAAAGTAGGAAGGCTCAGGACGCAGATTTTGTAGTTGCAAGATGAAATAAGGTCTTACCATAACTTGATGCTGCTGAAAAGCTAAATTTCTTCTCATTTGCTTGATGCTTGCTTCCGCCACATTTTTTTGTAATGCGGTAAATCCACGATACTGTGAAAAGCAGAAACACCAGTAGCCTAAATCACAAAGCTCATAATATAAGACAAACCTGCTGAAAAGGGCAAAGGTGTTCTTATCCTAGATGCCTTTAAAAATTGAATATGTCTGCCAATAGCTCACATTTTCACGGAATAAATGGAAATGGCAGTATGCATATAAATACCTATGATAGGTGGTGGGGGGGGGACACTAGTGGAAAGACTGGTAACTTCATGAGAGCTGGTGTGCTATTTAGTGGATGTTAACATCAAATGGAGTCTGGGGAGATCCAAGTCCAAATCTCCACTCTACCATAAAGCTCACCGCATGGCCTTGGACAAGTCACTGTCTCTCAGCGTTGTGAAACTAAAAGAGAACAGGGTAAGAAACCATGTACATCACTCACATCCTTGAAGGAAAGATGGGAACACGCAGGCTTAGATCGATTCCCTTTCCACAAATGGAAGGGAAAGCATATTCACCAATTTCCCCTCCCCTTCCTCTGCAGACCTCCGACTCCCCCTTCATGCTGTTCTGGGGGGGGGGGTAACTGTAGAAGGAGAGCAAGTTGTGCTCTGAGAGTGGAAATCCTTTCCATCCTGCAAAGTGCTGGTGAAACTGAACTATAAACAGATCTGCTTGTGGCCTTTTCTGGAATCATCTGGTTAGACACTATGGAAAGCCAGGATGATCAATAAGATGGTCTGATCCAGCAGGACCCTTTTTGTTTACCATCTGTAACTATCAGCTTTGTACAGATGTGGCCTCTACCATGAGACAAGGTGAGGTAGCAGCCTCAAGCGGGAAATTTTGGCTGCAACAAGTGAGTGCAGACAAGGCACAATCTACCAGGAAGGTCTACACAAACCTATTCATATGAATGGAAAAATCACATGAGAACTAGCTATAAAAGTGTACCATGTGCAGTAGAAGCAAGCACATGTTTCCAGCCCTGTACCTCCTAAAGGTACCCAGCTAGGATTGGCCAAAGCTTCCTTCTGCTTGTAAACAAGCAAGGAATTGCCACCACGTAATATGCAAAGGTGCCCTATGTGAGGATCATAAATGCAGGAAGCATCTTTCATCGGTCAAAAGTTATTTTAAAGAAGCCAGGCTCTGCAAACTTCTTACCAGCAGGAGGTGTCTGTAATGGTGTTCAGCTAGCTCCCGATGTTTAGCTGCTTCAGTACACAGTGACACATCCATTACATGGGTTAAAGAAAAAACCTGCATTTACTTTTTTGGATCAGATAAATGCTGTATAGTTTATCACAGGCATTCATAACACGAGAGGCATCAAAATATAGCAGAATGCAAAACGTTAATAGGGAGGAATCAACATGGGAATTATGGAAGTTTTAATTATTTTAAATCACTGCAGCTCAATTTTTACTTTTAATTTTATGAGGATGTGTCTGTTAAAAAAATTGCATGCAGCCCTGCATACGGAACAATCTATATACTAATAGTGAAGTCGCCCCCGTGCGTGCGGATACCTAAATCCGCGCATCGGGGGCACCTGGGGGGGAGGGAGATTTTCGTGCACACTTGGGGCAGTCCCCAGGTGTGCACAAAAATCTGAAAACTGTAAAAAACTATAGGGGGATACTTAAATCCCCCCAAAACTACAACTACTTGCTCTGGGCATGCGCAGGGAACTCACTGAGGCGCGAGAACAGCGCGAGGGAAGCCCCCACAGCACTAACCCTCCCGGCTGCTCCTCCAACTTCCCTGCACAGAGAACAGACTCACCCTTGGAAACTGTGGCGGGTTGTGCAAGGAAGCTCCGAGGACTTCGCCTCAGCACTGCTTCTGCCTGTTACCAGCCTCAATTGTTTGGAATTGTCAGCCTGGCTGCCCTTCGCCCGTTCCATCTTTCCCCTAGTGAGGGGTCGCCAGCCAGCTCTGGTCTCCTCCCACCCACTTGGCCCG